TTATCTTTAAAATAACATAACATAAGAACTTCTCATATTCTAAACAGTATCTTGAAAACAGGGTAAATTGAAAGGTTTTTGTTCTCTTTGTTTATTCAGTAACCCTTCCCAACCATAGGGTTACCAAGCACTGTTTTGAAAGTCTCCACATTTAATATTTTGTTCACCATTTCACCAACCATTGTATACAGTTTTTAGTATCCACAGGTTTATACTGCCACCGAAGGATACTGTATTTCTAGCCTAGCACGTCTATTAAATGTTTCATTCATCTTGTTCACTTCATTATGCCCATGTTCCCCATGTGACTATGTTATCATCGACCACACCCAAGTCCACTTCCTTCTCTTACATCTCTAAATCAATTTGTATGGTTTCACCTTTTACATTACTGTATATGCCATATGGTTTTCAGCTGTCCTGGCAATAGACATCACTGAATACTCCAATGGTTGGGAGGCAGTCACACCCCTGGTCCATGGGTAATGTCTATTTACTGACTCACTATCGCTCAAAACTATTCATACCTTTATTGATAAAATACATTCTAAATAAGATTAAAAGACCATTTCCATAACAAGCTGACAGAAATTCGTTCATCGAGAATGTCTTATAATTCTTTTTAAATAAAAATATATTTGAAAACTTGTGATGGCTAATGTATCCTATGTTTTGAAGCTCTCAAGAGTTCTCTGTAATCTATATAATGCAGTCTATCTAAAACTATGCTGAACTTCAGAAAAAACAAACCAGCATTTGCAGATGGTGGCTGAGCACCTCCTAAGCCAATTCCTGCACCACCCAAACATCCAGTACTTGTTAGGGAAGGGGTACCTGTAGGATCTGCATGTAAAAATATATTGTAAATAAAACTGGTATGAAATACATACTTAAGTAATGAAAAGTAGTGATCCATTGAGAATGTTACAAACACAGTGCTGTTATTTATGAGCAAAATGATGAATAAAAAACTGCTTCCAGAGAAACCATTCAGGTGAGCAAAGCCTGTCCAGGATAACAATATTAAATATTTGAAAACAGCCATAAAAAAAATTAATGACACTAATATGAATTTTAACCCCTTGTGTATGGGGTCGCCTATGAGTTGAATAAAATTGTCTGCCATAGGCCAAATAAAGTACTAAAGTAGCATCCCAGTAGTGAAGGGGTTAACTGTCCTAAATCTACCAATCCAATAAAAATCAAAATATTTTGAAGATATGAAAAATAATTACATTGATATTAATACCAGTAAATGATTCAACAATTTATTACACCATTAAGGTTCTGGACACTTAGGGTATGGTAGGTAGTACTCTGAATTTCAACACCAACCAACCTAAGCTTGGTAACCTATTTTGGACTGCTACTCAACTTTTTATAATTTTATGTTAAAAAGAAAGTGCAGCACAGAATCATCTAAATATGATATATTTATTGCCAGCTGGACTCAAAGTGAAACAAATACTTACTGGCAAAACCAAATGCTGGAGTTTTTGAAGGTTGTGCACCACCCAAAGGAAACCCAGTGGATGCTGAAACTGCTGGTGTTCCTCCTAAGCCACCAAGAGAAAACCCAGATGATGTGGATGCTGGGGTGCCACCCATTACTCCAAAGGAGAATCCTGTGCTGGCAGATGTAGCTGGAGTGAGGCTTGTACCACCAAGAGTAAAACCAGTAGAGGAGCTTGTAGCTGGGGTGCCACCCAGAGCAAATCCTGTTGAGCTTGTAGCCACTTAAAATAAAAAATAAATTATATATATATATATATATATATATATATATATATATATATATATATATATATATATATATATATATATATATATATATATATATATATACAGCTAGACCCCGACTTACGACGGGGTTAGGGACCCAAATCCAGGTCGTAAGTCCGACATAGATAAAAAAAAAAAATTTTTTTTAATAAATAATCTACAATGAAATAAAGTACAGTAAAAGTAATGAATAATGAGGAATGGATACAGTACAGTGAAAGTAATAAATAATAAGGAATGGTTACAGTGTGACTGAGCACTTACCTTTAATGTAGTCAGCTGAATGCACATGGGGCCCCCATAATTTTCTAATTATACATGGAGACTACATTAACTGGAAACGTTTCGGTATAGAAAATGCGTGTCATTTGAAGAAAAAGAAAAAGAAAAAAAAAAGAAAAAAGTAAATCACTGTAGGTGAGCGTGATCTAGGTATATGCTGATAACCACAAGGAAAGAAGAAAACACGAAGTTCCCAAGCGCTTTCGTGTAATTCACATCTTCAGGGGTGAGTACAGACTGGAGAGAGTAATACAAATCAAGGTGTATATATACAGAGGAGGGTGAGACCAGGTCCACAATGGTCAGGTATTAGGTAATGACCCTACTAATCTTTAAATAGCACACAACGGTTGGTGGTCAGGTCAGATGGTCAAGTGACCCGGCCTTCTCACCTGATCACAAATCTTCTTAATTACAAAATTGTCCAGCTTGTACATGCCGTTACTCAAATTCATGTTGAATGCTTCGGTATGTTTAATAAGACTAGATTCTATGATGTTCCTACTATCAATTGAATTACATGGTAATATTGAGGAGGCATTATCCCAGTCAATGCAATGCTTGTTATCCCTCAAATGAACAAACAGAGCATTGGATTCCTGGCCTGTCCTAACACTGTATTTGTGTTGTTTAATTCTAGTTGCAAGATCTTTACCTGTCTGGCCTAAGTAAAACATATTACATTCCTTGCAAGGAACTTTATAAATGCACCCAATTGTGTTGTTGGGGGAATTCTTGATTAACATTTGTTTAACAGTGCATGAGTTTTTAAATGCCACATTGACGTTCCAGGTTTTTAGCTGTGCAGGAATGTGTGAGAAATTTTTGTGAAATGGTAATATTAAGATATTCTTATGGTCATGGGTGGGCTTGGGATCAGTTCTATAAAAAGTTTTCTTAGTAATGTTTAAGCATTTGTCTATGAAAGATCTAGGGTATTTAAGGTTTGAGCCAATATTATATATATATTTGTATTCCTCATCGATGAATTCCGGACTGCAAATTCTCAGGGCACGTAAAAACATTGTTGAAAATACTGACTGTTTGACTTTATTATGGTGGGCATGTAATTCAATTGATAGTAGGAACATCATAGAATCTAGTCTTATTAAACATACCGAAGCATTCAACATGAATTTGAGTAACGGCATGTACAAGCTGGACAATTTTGTAATTAAGAAGATTTGTGATCAGGTGAGAAGGCCGGGTCACTTGACCATCTGACCTGACCACCAACCGTTGTGTGCTATTTAAAGATTAGTAGGGTCATTACCTAATACCTGACCATTGTGGACCTGGTCTCACCCTCCTCTGTATATATACACCTTGATTTGTATTACTCTCTCTAGTCTGTACTCACCCCTGAAGATGTGAATTACACGAAAGCGCTTGGGAACTTCGTGTTTTCTTCTTTCCTTGTGGTTATCAGCATATATATATATATATATATATATATATATATATATATATATATATATATATATATATATATATATATATATATATATATATATATATATATACACACACACACACACACACACAGTCAACCCTCGCTTTACGCGGTCCCACTTTACGCGTTTCCATGTTTACGCGGTACCCTGCCAGAACTGTAATTCCCACTTTACGCGGTGCATCTACTCATATATGCGGGCGAAGTATAATTTTTTATTTAGCTCATAAAATTCATACAAATTATCCGGCCAGAATATAATTTACATTGCTGGAATTCTTACAATTTGATGATCATTTTGAATATAAGCATCATAGATTTTGCATTAGACATACAAATTTTAGATCTAATGCAAGTACTTTGTTTACTCAGAGCAAATATGTTATCTTTTGTGCAAAATATATGGAGTGTATATTCAAAATATTCCTGGTCTTGCAAGGAATCCAGCAATGTCAATTATATTATCCTAACTTTAGTCAGAGGTATTATTCATTACTAAAAATGTAAATATTCTGGTTTGTCCCACACATTTCTCTGGTGGGGAGGGACCGACCGACCATCTGGTGCGGTTGGAAGAGGGGTGGAGGCAAGGTGGGGTACTTTGATTGACAGATAGTGTCGTGACGAATATATATATTTTTTATTAACTGAAGATATTTGTTTTAGCTCATAAAATTCATACAAATTACCCGGCCAGAATATAATTTACATTGCTGGAATTCTTACAATTTGATGATCATTTTGAATATAAACATCATAGATTTTGCATTAGACATACAAATTTTAGATCTACTCTAAGTATTTTGTTTACTCTGAGTAAATATGTTATCTTTTGTGCAAAATATATGACATTTATATTCAAAATATTCCTGGTCTTACAAGGAATCCAGCAATGTCAATTATATTATCCTAACTTTAGTTTGAGGTATTATTTATTACTATACCTTAAAATCTAGTGGTTTTCCCCCCAAACATTTCTCAGAGAGGGAAGAGCCAGGAGTGTGAGAAGAGGCGGAGGGAGTTGAGTCCATTATTTGAATTGACATTAACTTGGCGACTGTATTTCTCTAATTCTCTTAAGTATTAATTGTGTGAATGTACCATCATAAAATTAAGATGTTATTTTTACTAGAACATAGGTATTGTGTCGGAAAAAGTGGAGTTGGGGGTCAGGCCGGTCTCTATTTCATTTAATCCCATCTGTTATGTTGTTCACTTTACGCATTTCTCCCTTTACGCGGGCCTCCGTGGGTTCAATTGACAGTGTAAAGTGAGGGTTCACTGTATATATATATATATATATATATATATATATATATATATATATATATATATATATATATATATATATATATATATATATATATATATATATATATATATATATATATATATATATATATATATATATATATATATATATATATATATATATATACCCCTATATGACCTTAATTGAACCACACTTTTTTAAATAAAAGGGCAGTCAAGGACATGGTCAAGAAAGTGAGGGTATTTTTATTTGTTGTCTTAGACCTACCTTGCTGTGTTTGGTGTTGGAGAATAACATTGACATACTTTAGCATTTGATTCACTATTTACTGAATTATTTCAAATACTGTAGAGTATACACTTTTCAGTGTGCATATATTTGATATATAAATGTATCGGGTATATGGTACAGAACACCCACGGCTCAAGTTAAGAGATGAGGATACAATACAGTACTAAATACCCATTTTATGAACATTTACAGCTCCGTATCACACCCAAGCTTCATCAATAATGAAAAACAAATACATTACTTCAACATGAAAATAACATCACAAAATATAAAGATTTTATGCACAAATGGGTAGTAGAAGTTGAAATATGTACCTAGAGTAGGGGGAACTGGACAGCTGTCCACATAGGAGAGGGGTACATAGCCTGCCCTGGTGCAGGCTTGGATCATCTTGGTTGGCAAAGTGGGGTATTAATATGAAGACAAGCTGAGTGTGATTACATCAGCCACCCAGTTTACCAGACCAGTACAGTTGGACCTAAATCATTCACCTTTCATATAAAGTGTTTCCATGCCATCCACAATCTACAGTACCAGATACACTTTCTATATCTGCCATGGGTTTCAATAGTATCCATGCAGTATCACAACAAAAAGTGTTGAAACCATGGTCAAAACAGAAATTCATGCAGACTCACCAGAGGTGAGCCTACTACCCATTTGGAGGCAAGAATGAGATCCCCTGTGCATTTAGCAGTGAGAGTGTACTCTCCTCAGGTACAAGACAGTGATCAAATAGAGAAGTAATGGACAAATGCACTCATTGACCTCTTACAAGTCCAAAACACCTAAGTTAAAGAAAAAAATTATTACATGTTCTGTATGGAGGGCAACCAGCCAGAAACCGACCCCCCCCCCCACCCCCCCGAATCAATTACTGATTATGAAGATCAAGTCTCTTTAGGATTTAAAAAAATATGCATGAACCAGTACAGTAACAACAGCCTAAAACCTGACTTTGTTGTAAAACTCGACCAAGGTGTGAATGCAAATGCCAATGAAGACTCATAAAACCTATCCACCACAAGATTATATAATTCTTAGTCTCCAACACAAAACCTCTCTGTCATTAAAACATATGGTAGTTCAAGTACCTGTTGGCAGAGTACCAAAGTTGAATCCACCTGCAGAGGCTGTTGGGATAGTACTTGTGCAACCACCAATACCTGTGGCAACTGGGGCAGGGCTGCCAAAGCTAAAACCACTTGTTGATGTTCCTGTTACTACTGAAAAAAAAGCATACCTTAGTTTAAAAAAGAGGTAAAGTAAACAGAGATTTAAAGAGAAGATTAATATCAGAAGCAGTACATTATGATGTGATGGTTAATGAACTACAAGATGTTGATCATGTGTGTATCAAGGAAGAAAATAACTATAAAAAGATTGTCAGGTAAGTAACAGTAAAGACAATATCTACTTTATATAATGTTTTTTCTCTCTCTCTTGTAAGCCTTTTCCTTTATGGAGAGGGATGTCTGCTACCAACACCAACAGAGATTCCCCCAATAACCTCTTCTTTACTGCGCACTTCTTCCAATGTAAGCAAATTTGTCTCCCCTCATACTGCACCCCCACCTCACAGTGTGAGTGTGTGTTATAATTATCCCTGCACACACCTCTATTTATTCTACGTTATTTATTTATACTGTATATATCTACGATCACATAAACCCAACAAAATATACACTAGTTCCAATAAAAAAAAATAAATAAATAAAAATCAATAAAATTTACAGTACAGTAGGTATTGTGTTTTCTACTACATATTACAAGATACGGTAATAAAAAGTTCATACCTGGGAAATGGATAAATATACAGTACTGTACTTGCATTTTAAAATTCTGAACCCAGATCCTTAACCAGCATGTACCGGGTAAAAGAGTTCCTTCAAATGCATTTTCAACAAAATCCACATTTTGACCTCATGTACCGAAATGACGGGTAATAGATCAGCCAACATTTTCACGATAAAATGCCTTTTTTCTGGAAACTAATGTGTTTAGAGCATAAAGATATTCTAAATTACTGAGAAAATGTACATAAGGGCAATTTAAAACTTACGGGAACAACGTATTTGACGTTTTAAATATTCTGTATGAATTAAATTATTTCAAAGTTCCTTAACACTATTTACTGTACAGAAGTGTGAAAATTATAGCACACACAGAGCATCGTTATGTTTATATACCTTGTAAGATATGTCAAGTTCTTGCAAATAAAGTCTGGTGTTTTATCTGTAAATGGGTCTGATATGAGCGAGGTATGAGGAGTGAAAGTGGAGGGGCTTCCCTAATAATTTTCAAATTCGTCTTCACCATTAGAGGTGTCTAATGATGCCATGACTACGGAGAAAAAGAATATCCGGCCTTCAGAAAACACAAAAGAATACCGGCCACCAGCTTGGCATCAACTACCGGTACACATTCAAACATCAAAGGAGGGTATTATAACATGACTTTTCAAAAATAATAACAATTGGTCGAGAAGGCAGCATGAAAAATGGATGCTGGTTGTCATTGGCTGATTTTCACTGTTTCATTTTGTCAGTACAGTGGTCCCTCAGTTAACAAACACAATCCGTTCCAGAAGGTCGTTCGTTATCCGAAAAATTCGTTAACAGAAACCATTGTTTCAATGGGTTTTTGGGTAATTGGTTCCAGCTCACCGAAAATTGCCTAAATTCAACAAAAATGGTAGAAAAGTTCACTTACTTTGAGGTGTGTATGTAGAAGGCTCCTGGATGATGATGATGATGTGCATTTGAAGTGGGAGGTGGAGGAGAAGGAAGAAGAGAAGGCATTGGGGTGGAAGAGAAGTCACCCCATGGCACCATTTCACCCATAAAATTTTAGTTCTCTTGGTGTATTTCAAGATTATTTTCTTTAAATCAACACTGCACTGCATTATATATTGTCAATATGTAAAATATATTTCAAAATGACCAATAATTTGCTTGGAAACACAGAAAAAAAGCATTTAGTTGAAGAGAGTCTCAAGCAAGATGTTACCTCCACTGAAAACAGAGAGAGACTAACGCCTGTCTGGTGTGTTAACAGGCTGGATGGCACGCCAGAAACTAGTTTCTTTACCTTCAATTATGTTCAATAATTGTTAAAATTACTAAAAAAGTTAATGTTAAACTTTAAAAATTATTGAATAGTATAAACTTCTTGATATTTACTAAAATAGTAAGGAATTTAAGCCCTAGAACCGATTAATGTATTGGCGGACTAATACCAAAGCTGGTTGACCGGCCAGTGCAATCGAAAACATGTTGAGGTCGGTTCATAAGAATTTCGTTAACCGAATTTTTGTTCGTTAACCGAATTTAAGAATCTTATGGGAGGCAGTTCGTTAACCGAAATTTCGTTAACCGAGGGACCACTGTACAGCGTATTTGTCCTGAGCCTTTGTTGACAAGACAGAAGTGTTGCCACCATGTAAAATACAGGTTGTACCTCTCTAGTCCGGCATTCTGTGGTCCGGAACGATTTTAGTTTGCCCAATAGCCAACATCCCTGATGTAACTCATATGTAATTTTAGTTACAGTACCATCACTTCACATTGGAAGCAGAATTATGGTAGCATTAAAGGTAAATTAAATAGTATTTTAACCATATTACTTTTTCTTTTTTATTTATTTTTTATCTTTTATTTTTATGCTTGATGTAGGGTGTTTCAGGGGTGAATTTCCATGGTCCGGAAATTTCCACGGTCCGGCACCGGTCAGGTCCCGAGGTTGCCGGACTAGAGAGGTACAACCTGTAGTGTAAAAATAAAACCTATACTATGCTTGCCTTCCTTATGATCACATTACCCGCTTAGCAGGAAACATACGCTCACGGTCAGTTGCCATGGTACACATGAACCACATAAGATTTCGAATTGGAAAGGGTTAACTGCTGCCATTCATTCTCTCCTCAGCAACTAACAAATGTGTTCTTCTATGGTCTTGCTTTTCACAATACAATACATGCTCAAGACTGCCATCTGGTTTATCTTTACTACCATGTGGTTTACACTCATATCGCCCATCAGTAACATATCCACCCCCACAAACCATTGCACACTGTGATACACTAACCTGGTTGGGTTCCAGTGCTGCTCATATTGCTAAGGTTACCAAAGCTAAACCCTCCAGCTGTAGGTGTACTTGTGGGTGCTGTAAAGAAACTTTTAGTAACGGCTGCAACTGTCGAAGTCTGTGGCTGTCCAAAGCTAAAACCACTACTGGAGGTGCTTGTCCCTGGGGAAGAAATTAGCGAGCATTAAGTATTGCAAGTAACACAAGTGCATGTTAACAATATGAATAAAAATAAATAAAAAAATTATATATATATATATATATATATATATATATATATATATATATATATATATATATATATATATATATATATATATATATATATATATATATATATATATATATATATAGTCATGCGCCGGTTAACGTCCAACCGAACAAAGTCCGATCGCATATACGTCCGTGCCCCCCCCATTTTCAGAGCCTTTTAAAATGAATCTATCTTCATCTACAGGAAATATACGGTTAGTTTAATTTTTAAATTAATTTGATATTCAAATTCCAGTCAGTCAGAAGCTGGTAACCTATGACCCAAGGAGTTACAACCCGCTAGTCTTCTTGGTTATAGTTACAGAGTTTCTTGATCTTACCTTAACATCATTAAAGTATGTTTCACACTTGTACAGCAACTATTACTGATTTTAATAGGTCTGCTCACTACACAAAATGTTAAAATCATAAAACATAGACATATTAGTATAGTACTAAATACTGTAAGCTCACCTGCTGTTGGTTGAGCTCCAAAATTAAAACCACTTCCACTTCCTGCTACAGTTCCAACAGGTCTAACTGCACCAAAGTTTGCCATTATGTTTCAGTACTTGATGGCTCTGCAAAAGAAAATTGATAATGTCCCTGCATAACCTGATATATCATCATTTAATTTACTTCCATTTCTAGTTTCAACTCCAGAGTAAAAACAGCAAAACTTCAACTCAATTTACTTGTCTAAAATCTGCCATCATGGCATAGGCTAGATGACCATGGCCTGTGCTAGGATATGGCAGGACATAGCAAGTGTGCTGGTATACTAGTATACAGTGATCCCTCGGTTAACGAACACCTCGGTAAACGAAATTTCGGTTAACGAATTACCTCCCATAAGGATCTTCAATTCGGTTAACGAACAAAACTTCGATTAACAAAATCCTAAAGGCAAGCACGTTTTGTTGTGAGCATCAGCTGATCAGCTGATGGGCTTGTATGTCAATTCAGTAATCTGTTCTATGTTTACATTCGCTTCCAGTGGAGTAAATATCAAGAAAATTGTGCTCTTTAATATTTGTGCATTTTTTATATTAAAATTATTGGTCATTCTAAAATTTAGCCATCCAAGCTCTGTCTATTTCATAGCCGGAGTTGGTAAAACGTTACTCTGATCCCCAAAGAGGCACGAGTAGTCCCCAATTGGAGGTTCACGGCGCCATAAGCTCGATGAACAGGCTTTGTGTGAAATATAACAAAGTCTAGGACTGCTTTTGGTGTCCTGGTGGTCTAGAGGTAACGTTCCCCAGTCACACACATAAGATCGTGGGTTCGAGTCCTGGCAGAGTGAGGTTGTTGAAAAAAAAAAATATATATATATATATATATATATATATATATATATATATATATATATATATATATATATATATATATATATATATATATATATATATATATATATATATATATATATATATATATATATATATATACACAATGCCCTCCGTTGAACTCAATCCGTTCCAGAAGGTGGATTCGATAACCCGAAAGTTAGTTAACTGAAACCATTGTTTCAATGGGTTTTTGAGTAAGTGGTTCAGCTCACCGAAAATTTCTAGTTCAGAATTAGATTCGATAACCGAGAAAGGATTAAGTTAACTTGAAACCATTGTTCCAATGGGTTTGAGTAGTGGTTCCAAGCTCACCGAAATTTCCTAAATTCAGCAAATGGTGAAAAAGTTCACTTACTTTGAAATTATTAGCATGTAGAAGGCTCACCAAGATAATGATGAGTTTAGAATGGGGGTGGGGGAGAAAGAAAGAAAACCATTGGGTGGAAGGGAGTCACCCCATGGCGCCATTCCTCCCATAAAATTTTAGCTCTCTTGGTGTAATTCAAGATTATTTTTCTTTATATCAACACTGCACTGCATTATATATATTGTCAATATGTAAAAATATGTTTCAAAATGACATAATAATTTGCTTGGAAACACACAGAAAAAAAGCGTTTGGTGAAAGTCTCAAGCAAGATGTTACCTCCAGTGAAAACAGAGACTAACTCTGTTTTGCTGTGTTAGAAGGAAGCTGAATGCGCGCATTAAACTAGTCGCACACTTCCCAAATTATATTTAATAGTGTTGAAATTACTAAAAATTAGATATTAAACTTTTAAAATTATTGAATAGTATAGCTTCTTGATATTTACTAAATAGTAAGGAATTTGGCCTGAACCCATTAATATATTGGCGGATTGATACTAAAGCTGATTTGCCGGTCAGTCTTGGCTTATGTTGAGTCGAGTTCGTAGAACTTCGTTAACGGTACTTTTTATTAACGAATTGAAGATCATATGGAAATGGTCGTTAATGAAATTCGTTAGCAACGAGGTGTTACGTTAAGCGAAGTCCTGTAATGATAATGTGTGTGTGTGTGTGTGTGTGTGTGTGTACATTATTATTATTGTGTGTGCCAATGTGTGTGTATATATATATATATATATATATATATATATATATATATATATATATATATATATATATATATATATATATATATATATATATATATATATATATATATATATATATATATATATATATATATATAAATACCACAATATTACTTCCGCCCTAAGTTTTTCACTTATGAATTTTGCTCATATCTGGTACTGTGAAATAGACTTTTCTTAACACGGATTTTTTCCACATATACGTGGTGAGTGTCCGGCTCGAGACGCTATTTTTAGATTTGCCCCACCCTGCCTGACTGCCTGTTTTAGCTCATAAAATTCATACAAATTACCCGGCCAGAATATAATTTACATTGCTGGAATTCTTATAATTTGGTGATCATTTTGAATATAAACATCATATTTTTGCATTAGACATACAAATTTTAGATAAAATTTTTCCTCAAATTAACTATGTTATCTTTTGTGCAAAATATATGACATTTATATTCAAAATATTCCTGGTCTTACAAGGAATCCAGCAATGTCAATTATATTATCCTAACTTTAGTTTGAGGTATTATTTATTAAAATTTAGTGGTTATCCCACACATCTCCTTGGGACGGTTGGTGGGGGGTGGGGAGGAGGGAGGGACCGACCGACCATCTGTTACCCTGTGAAGAATTATTTTTTTTTTTATTACCTGAAGATATTTGTTTTAGCTCATAAAATTCATACAAATTACCCGGTCTGAATATAATTTACATTGCTGGAATTCTTATAATTTGATGATCATTTTGAATATAAACATCATATTTTTGCATTAGACATACAAATTTTAGATAAAAAATTTTCTCAAATTAACTATGTTATCTTTTTTGCAAAATATATGACATTTATATTCAAAATATTCCTGGTCTTACAAGGAATCCAGCAATGTCAATTATATTATCCTAACTTTAATCTGAGGTATTATTTAATACTAAATGTTAAAAACCCTGGAAGGGAGGATTGGTGGGGGGTGGGGGGGAGGGTTGGGACTGACCGCGAGGTTGGAAGAGGGGGGGAGGCAAGGTGGGGTACTTTGATTGACAGATAGTGTTGTGAAGATTATTTTTTTTTTTATTAACTGAAGATATTTGTTTTAGCTCATAAAATTCATACAAATTACCCGGTCAGAATATAATTTACATTGCTGGAATTCTTATAATTTGATGATCATTTTGAATATAAACATCATATATTTTGCATTAGACATACAAATTTTAGATAGAATGTTTTCTCTGAGTAACTATGTTATCTTTTGTGCAAAATATATGACATTTATATTCCAAATATTCCTGGTCTTACAAGGAATCCAGCAATGTCAATTGTATTATCCTAACTTTAGTTTGAGGTATTATTTATTAAAATTTAGTGGTTTTCCCCCAAAAATTTCTCTGAGAGGGAAGAGCCGGCAGTGTAGTGTGAGAGAGTTGAGTCCATTATTTGAATGGACATTAACTTGGCGACTGTATTTCTCTATTTCTCTTAAGTATTAATTGTGTGCATGTACCATCATAAAATTAAGATGTTATTTTTACTACAACATAGGTATGTGCCTTCAAAAAGTGGAGTTTGGGGGTCGGGCCGGTTTCTATTGGAATTAATCCCATATGTTCTGTTGTTCACTTAACGCGGATTTCACTTAACGCGGGACCCTCTGGGTTCAATTGGCCGCGTTAAGTGAAATTTTATGTATTACCCGCCTAACGGTTTTTCACTTAAGCGTTTTTATCATATCTGCGGTGCCTGTAAGAACTTTTCACTTAACGAATTTTTCATCATATCATGGGAAGCGGCGCGAACCGCAATCTTGCTTAAAATCATCTGCAAAACATTACGAGTTCTTCACCGCCACCTGGCGGCCCAAGTCGATGGTGATAATTATAGTGAGGATATGGACTTATATGGCCTTTGAGGGGTTTGACAAAGAGGCCCTGCAAGCCTCTGTGGTGGATAGTGATACAATTGATACAAGTGATACAGGTGAGGGCCAATAATCTGCCCTCTGCCTCGGAACCAACCCCCCATCCCCGTGTGCCCAGCCATCTTTTCTACTAATGCAAGTGTTAAAAAACCTAATATTATTGATATTTCTCTTAATTATTAATTGTGTGTGCATACCATCATAAAGTTAAGATAAATTTTTTACTACAACATAGTTGTGTGTCGTCAAAAAGTGGAGTTTGGGGGTCGGGCCAGTCTCTATTGGAATTAATCCCATATGTTCTGTTGTTCACTTAACGCGGTACCCTGTGGGTTCAATTGACCGCGTTAAGCGGGGTACTACTGTATATATATATAATATATATATATATATATATATATATATATATATATATATATATATATATATTATTATATATATATATATATATATATATATATATATCAATCAATCAATCAATCAATCAAATAAATAAATAAATAATATAAATATAAATAAAATATAAATATAAATAAAAAAAAAAAAAAAAATTATATATATATATATATATATATATATATATATATATATATATATATATATATATATACACATACATACATACATACATACATACATACAGTATATAGTAATACCCCGATTTACGCTGTTTTGCTTTACGCGATTCTACATTTACGCGGTACCTCGCCAGAACCAGAATTTCATTTTACGCAGTGCATCTACTCATATAAGCGAGTGAAGTATAATTTTTTTTTTAGCTCATAAAATTCATACAAATTACCCGGCCAGAATATAATTTACATTGCTGGAATTCTTACAATATGATGATAATTTTGAATATAAACATCATGGATTTTGCATTAGACATACAAATTTTAGATTTAATATAATAATTTGGTTTACACAAAGCAAATATTTTATCTTTTGTGCAAAATATATGAAGTTTACATTCAAAATATTCCTTGACGTGCAAGGAATCCAGAAATGTCAATTATATTATCCTAACTTTAGTCTGAGGTAGTATTTATTACTATACCTTAAAATCTAGTGTTTTCACCCAAACATTTCTCAGAGAGGGAGGAGCCAGCGAGCTTGGGAAGAGATAGGGGGGGGGGGAGTTGAGTCCATTATTTGAATGGACATTAACCTGGCGACTGTATTTCTCTTAAATATTAATTGT